CTGTCAGTTGAAGGTTTTGGTTCTAACTTTGAAAGCAGTTAAGTGCATCACTGAGTATATTTCCATCAAAGAAATTACCAGGGGTATTCCGGAGTGGATTAACTAGGATCGGAAGACCAGAGTAAACTGGAAGATGGGAATACCTCTTAGATGAGATGATCTGACTTCAGAATTTGCTTCTGAAGGTGATGTTTTGTCTTCACTGACATAGTATGTGTTTACTGCAAGACTTGTGGGTGTAGATATTGACGGTAGTGTTTGTCTTCCTATTTTCTCTGATTTTCCTTTTTCTTAGTTTCACAGTGAGATGAAAGGGTCTGTGTTCACCCTGATTTTGTAGGTGGTAGAAAGAAAGCATTATTTTACCTGATGATGGAAAAACTGTGGAAGTTGTTTCCTTTAGAAATGTACTGCCTGACTATTTTTAAGAGGGCTAAACACCTTCAGAATTGATCATTTTGTTTATGGTAGTAACAATGAAACTCTCTTCTGTCCTTCTTACAGAAGTAGTTTTTTATAGAAAGCAGAACTTCCTTAATGCAAAAGAGCAAGAGACTTCCTAACTGCTCATGATACAAAAGTTACTTGTGTGGTATATTGATAGACAGTGTGTAGCCTAAGTTCAAAGAGCTTAAAACAAGCTACTGTAGGAGCTGTCTGTCAATACTTTCATCTCCTGGAGGTGATCAATAAGACCCCACCAAATTACCTTTTCTGAAAGTTTCTATAAAAGCTAGGTATTTCATAGATGTTGCATCACTGAATCTAGTGGCAGATGGTTAAATTGGAGTCATTAAGTAATGAATTTCCTGTCATGATCAAACTGCAAATGAGGTGCTGTTTTCATTGCTTTTGAGAAGCTGTTCCTGAACTTTGGTGTTTGAGGTGCCATCTTTGAGGGTGACTTTATCTGATAGCAGTTGTTTGTTTTCCTAGTGCTGTAGTTGTGCCTTTTAGCATAATTATGTCTTTTGTCTTTGGTGCTCACACCTTTGTATTTTAGTGGGTATCAATATTAATTCTTTTTAGTAGTTGATTTGCTACAGTAATTGGGCAAGCTTTTCTTCCCTTGTTGCGGGATAGATTGTTTGTTCCTTTAATTGCCTTTTCCCCTTTTCAGGAAGTTAGTGTGTGTGTGTGTGTGTGTGTGTGTGTGTGTGTGTGTGTGTGTGTGTGGAGAGGGAGATGTTTAAGCCCAGGTAAAAACTGTATATATTATTTTAAAGCAGTATCACAAAGATTATGAGTTTGTCAGTACATCCCTTTCTCTCCTGTAAATACCTCAGCTAGCATGGGATTTATTGTCTAAATCCGAAATTGCACAGAATGTTGACAGTGCAAACTGATGCCTTTCCCAAAGACTTTAAGACTAAAATGGCTCTGTGTGCTGTTAACAAGAAGGAAGTGTATTGTATGTCACCTAAGAGACAGATTCTTACTAGAGTTTTACTGCAAATTGAGCATAATGGAAATGGAATTGTAGAGAAAGAACAGTAAGCTGAAGCACTGTTAAGATAGGGTGCTGTGTTCAGTTGATAATAAATTCTAGCAGTTGCAAATTTTTTATGTTTGGATTATTTTTTGTAATAAAGTGTGGTCATGAAGACTGGAATCTTACAAATACAAAAACAGTGTATTAGTTCCTTCTGCCTTGAGCTTTGAATTAACCCAATCTCCCAGTTCTTCACAAGCCCTCAGAAAAAAATAGTATTGTATTTTATTCCTCTATTTTATATGTTCAAAGTTTATGCAGTAATCTGTGTTTCAGAAAAGCTGTGGAGAATGATTTACCATGGCTCTGAAGTTGTCCTTGGGATTCTAGGTGCAACCACAGTACACGTTTGTGAAATGTGTTTATGGTGAAGAATTGTCGTGCAGCCATTTCACAACTGTTACATATTTGGCATGTGACAGCTCATCAAGTGAATAGCAGAAGGGTGAAACTGTGAGGTGAGCCATTAGATTAGGCTACAGTTTTATCTAAATGTAGTCTTAAACCTCTCCTTTTTGTCCTTTTTGCCCCACACTTCCTGTTTGATAATGTATTTAAGGAAGAATTCCCTCATTCAGAGAGCTTGAATTTGGATTCATTTTCAACCTGCGCAATGACAAGACAACTGCTTCCCATCATAGCAGAAACAGTCAAAAAACAGAAGTGGCAAGTCTGATGTAAGGCCCTTATATTCTAGTTTAAGGTTAACTGAAGAACTGGATACTGCCCTGGCTTCCTTTAAAGCAGTACATACTTATGGAGCAGTTTAGTTTAAAAAAAAAAAAAAAGAAGACAGTGTAGTTAAATGGGGTTGATGCGGAGTTGTTTGCAAATTCAATTAGTATGCTGTTAAGTCCTGTATCCAAGTCGCTGACAAAACATTGAAGAGAACTGCCCCCACAATGGAATCCTGATGAACCCTAGAAAAAGCAGCCAGCCTGATTTAGCCCTGTTTGCTATAACTCGAGCTTTACCCATCACCCATTGCATTGTGTGTTCATCCAGCTGTGTGCTGGCTGTTTTGTCCAGATGGATACTGTGAGAAGCTGTACTGAAAGCTTTGTTGCAATCCAAAAATCCTTTGGTCGACTAAGGTGAGTAACCTTATCATAAAAGGGAAATTAAATTAATTAAGCAAGCCTTTCCCATTATGAACCCGAGTTGGCTGTGACCAATGGCTGCTTTGTCTTTCAGATGCTTTTCAATAGCTCTCAGAATAATCTCTGTAATTTTGCAAGGCACGGAGGTGAGACTGACAGGCTTATGATTACTGGGGTCTTCTTTTTGAAATGTGGGACATTTGCCAGCTTCCAGTCAGTGAGTGGTTGGACTTGATGATCTTTAAGGTCTTTTCCAACCTGAGTGATTCTATGATTTACTGGGACATATCCAGCTTCCATTATAATTAGGAAAAATTGCTAGGTAACCTCTCAAAAATTCTGTAATAATGTTAATTTACTTTCAGAGCAGAGTAGACTTGAAAAGCATGCAGGTAGAGAGTGCCTGTAACATGGATAAGCAGAGTTTGTTAATTTGAGACCTCTTTCCATCTCTGACTGCTTATAAGTACTCCATTCAGATACAGAAGTTCTGGTGGAGGCTCAACATGTATAACATCACAGTAACATAATGATTTCTTCCTTGTGGTTTTTGCAAAAGTCAGTGTTTAAGATCAAACCAGCATGAGTTTGATTCTTTCATGTGGGAGATTTTATTCAATGTTGCTTGTTATTTCATCCAAGGTGCATCAAAAGATGAGGAAAAAAATGCATTAAAAATAGCCTACTTGTTATAAATGAGTGCATTTCATTGTTGTGGATAAGAAATGTACCACTTTTTTTTGAAAAGGGACAGTGCTTTCACGTGGCTTCCATGAAAAGGAAGGGTTTCAGGCTTTGCTTATTAATCTGGCACGTGACCACCACTACACAAGTGCTCTGCTCGGCTTGGCTTGAGCACACTGTTGCTTAGAACTGAAGAATGTATGCATGCTTGTCTCCTTTGTGTAGTTAATGCAGAATGCTTCAGGCATTGTTTTTGTTCTTATGCTGTACATAGAACTTCTGTCAACGTTTCTATAATATGCTGGTTTTCATTATGGAGTTCGGTGCTGTTTGGCTATTTCTTCCTGCTGAGTTCTTGAGAGAATGCTTCATCTCACTGACTGTTTCAAAATTCAAAATTATTTTATCTCAATGTTATTGGTAACAGTGTCTTTAAAAAAATAAAAAAAAAAAAGTAACAATAAAAAAGTTCCTGCTATATAAGATTTTTTTTACTTTATTTAAAACAGTGTAAAGTCAGAAGCAATCCATACTGGAAAATAGTTGTAGCATTGCTTAAAAAAAAAAAAAAGGGTATATGGCAGTATTTTTTTTAATATACGTCAAGGAGACACAATTATAATCTTTAGTTTTCTGATAGTTTATAATTTAAGAGTTAATGTTACTGTTTAAGTGATAAAATGTGATACCTGACAAGGACTGCTTATGAGTTCATTAGGTAGGAACATCTTTCAGAGCTGGCTAACCCTTTGTGTTAGGGAAAGGAAGAAACAGAAGAAAACACTTCCTGCATGCTAGAAAAGAAACATTTACATTATTTAATTTCCTGGAAAACTGAAATGATTTTAATTATTTTAATATTCTTTAGAAGATCTCTTGTTTTGAAAAGTATCTGTGTAGCCAAGGGACAGTATGGTTTACAATTAATCACTTTCTTTTTTTTCACCCTAAAATTAACATCTAATGTCTTTTTTCTGAAGGGGAAAAAAAGAGGATGATTTGTCTGTCTCAGATGTACTGTGGAGTCTATGCTAATTATTTTTTAGCCATTAGAAACTGATGCTTGGCAATTCATATAGTAGCATTGCAGATGCAAGCAATTTTCAGATAAAACAGAAGTAGTGAATCATTTTTATGGTGGCAGTGTCTCAAAAAAAAAAAAGTGATTCCATGGGAATGATATTTTTGGAATTACTGCTTCCCAGTTCCCTCTGAGGACTGATTTAATCTGTCAGAGCGGTGACTTCAGTGGTGGTGCATGCCTTCATGTGCAGTTTAATTATGGGTATAGTAGTCATGAGACCCAGTTGTGTTTTGTTTCTGGCAAACAGTAAGTTCAGGTTTATATCTGGATTACAGAAGAGTACTTGGAACATCTATTAATAACAGTTATTTAGTAAGCTTTTCTTTCAGAACACCCTTATGTTCTGAGAACAAGGACCCCATAGACTTTCAGGCAATTGAGACAGGAATGAAATGCAAAAAATTATGGGAAATTAAACAACTGTGTGGTAATCGCTAACTGTGTTGTCCACATGAGGAGTTTGATGGGCTGCACCAGCTGCAATCTAACATTTTAAAATTCTGGTGTTTACCTTTGATAATGGTGTTATACAGTATTTCTCTTCTAGGGCCTGTTTAGGATTGTTTATTTAGTTGTGGTTAAGACTAATACTTTTTTTTTAACAAAAGTGGAAATAACAGCAGCTTGTCTCTCTTTGCAGCTTTTACGAGAGTTGAAGCATCCTAATGTGATTGCATTACAGAAGGTTTTCCTTTCTCACAGTGACAGAAAGGTTTGGCTGCTGTTTGATTATGCTGAGCATGACTTGTGGGTAAGTACAGATTTCCCTGAATGTTTGACCTAGTGTAAAAGGAGCTTGGACAAGCTGAAGTGTGTGTGATGTGCCTTTGTATAACACAGAGATGCATACATTTCTTCCTCTGTAATTCAGGGTCTACCTGACATCCTGTTCTTATTACACTTTGGTCTTTCACTTAAAACCTGCAAAATCTCTGTAGAATTTTTAAAATGCCAGACTTAATTTTGAAGCTAAAACAGCATCCCATTAAGATTTAATTAGGGTTAAAGATGGTATTCCTAAATTGAGACCTTCTAAAACAGAGATTGGAAATCTATTTAGTATTTTATTTTCCCTGCAGTTTTAACAAAGAAAAAGGAAAAAGAAGTAGTGGGTCTGTTTACTGACTCCTTTTACTGAGATACAATGGCATTAACATTCTGTCATTTAATTTTGAACAGTGAATTTGTGGCAGTACGAGTGGAATGAAAATTAAACAAACAAACAAACAAACAAAAAAAGCACTATTGATTGGGTCTGCTGATGTGCTAAGATTATATGGAAGAGGCATAGAGACTTGCACGTCAGTAAATTTCCAGTGAAATGTGAAAAGACTTCAGTAAGAAGTGAATTGCCTGGACTTGGATTAAGACTTAAACCCAAAAGGTATCAAACATGACTAGTAATCAGTATGTTTATAATTCCTTTGAAAATACTGTAAAAAAGAGGAAGTGGAAAAATGAATTCCAATATTACTTCTTAATGCTTCAGTAATATGGAAATTGCTATTTGCAATGATACTATGATAGTGACAGAGTGGTTGGGTTTTTTTAAATTTTTTTTTGTACAAGAGCTAATGTGTATGTACTTGTAAATGACAAAAAAAAAAAAAGGTGTAATCTGGAAGAAAAGTAGACAGACTATGTAAAAAATGTACTTTTGGCTTAGAACGATTGCAGTAATGAGATTTCAGTCCCTTTTTATGTTTAAAAATGTATTTGAATTTCTCCTGTAGGGTAGCACCTTTGTATTTTAAGTTTTCTTCATCACATTTATGTGTACAGTGAATCTGTATATTTCTCCCAACTGGTGCCAGTGATGATGAATAGGAATGCAGCAGATAAAACTCTGTATGGAACAGAATTTATATGTGCATCATCATGAGTTTACTCATTTTTAAAAAAACAGCCACGACAAACATATTTTACTGCTACATTGAGAGACGCTCAAAACATACTGGTGCTCAACTTTTCCATTCAAGTTTATTTGGGGCATCTGCTTTTTACACAACATGGTGACTTTTTGCATAACTTAACAGCTTTATCTAAAGAATTGCTGCAGTCTAATGTTCCTACCACCCCTTACACTTGGCTGAGTATTGGTCATAATCTCCGTGAATTTCGTTCTTTTTCATTATTTGAAATTGAATGCTTGTTACACTAGTTATTTGATGTGAACTGGTCTCCCACTTCCTACTGCTTTTTTTTTTTTTTTTTTCCTATGGGACATGCTACACAAATCATTTCTCCTTTCCTATATAATTGCCCATATTTCCTTGCTTCTTAAGCCTTTGCAGGAATTCGTTTTCCTCCCTTGCATAAAGTTAGCCATACTCAAGGCAATCTTGGTTCTGGCTTAACGTTGGTCCTCATTTCCTTTACTGTCAGCACTTCCCAAGCATCGCTCTTGATTCCCCTTTTGTCTCTTTTGCTCACTCCCTACTTTGTGTCTTTTTCCACGCTGCCTCCTACACATGGAACAGCCTCCCAATTAACGTACGTAAAGATCCTTCACTATCCTCTTCAAAAGCCTCCTGAAAATCCACTGATTTTGTAACACATTTCAGTAATAACAACCACTTGTCATTCTGTCTGTGTTGTGTTGTGTTTTGCATTTTCTGTGCTTTACAACTTGTGCCCTTCCAGCAGTTTGAGGTAGGAACTGTAATAGGGGATTGGCACATTTTTGTGATTGGTTTACACCGTGTGCTTCCCCAGCACCACTTCAAAGCAAAGTAAGTCTCTTCATTGTGGATATCAAATTTAGTAAGATTTAAGTTTTGATAAGCATTGACTTGATGTGCCATCACTAGACAAATACAGACTCCCAGAGACCAATGCAGTTTCAAATGTAAATATCTTAATGTTACGTAGCAGAACTTGTTTTTAAAGATGGGAATCTTCCTTCTATTCAAAGCTGCCCAACTTTAGTATGGCATACTGGCTTCAATGAGAAGAATAAATGCTCATTACTTATAAACAGATTAATTAAAATCATTACATTTTCAGTTTCTGTACTGCAAATATTTGGCAAAAGATGAATGAACTATGTTAGATGCTATCTTTTTCTGTTCGTTTTGTAATGCTGAAGAAAACTGTCCCATTCTAATAAGGAAAAGTGATGGTGCCAATTAAGCTTATTAAAAAGTTCTTTCATAGTGAGCAACATTCTTTTTTAACTTTGCATTTAGTTCCCAAGGATTAGTGTACTCAAATCTGAAATTTGAGTTACAATAGCACCATACTGTATAATTTGCAGTAACTTCTGTTGATGTCATTTTCAAGGGATAAAGAAAACCATGCCTGTTTAGAACAACTTCTCACAGGCATTGATGAAGACTTATGATGTTATCGTTGCTAGCAAATGTATTCACTGTCTGATTTCTAAGTCGATCAAAGATTTTCCTTCATCGCCTCTCAAGTAATGTTGTACAAAACTATGCAAAAGTGTTAATGGGATTACAGAAAAGAATGTGTAAGAATATAGCAGATTTTTTGACCAACTGATCTATAATTCATGTTTAATTAAAACAATTGCCAAAATTTAGTGTGATCCACAAATGATTTCCTTATGATTTTTCTTGGCTATCAGTCTCTGACAGCTGATAACATTTTTAAGGTATTGAATGTGCCACGTGTGCTGATTTATAGTGTATTGTCTACAGTGTCATCACTGCTCACATATGCTTATACTATGAAGTAAATATGAGATTCCTTAGCTTTTACCTCACTGTGTGCAAAAGAGACGCCTGACACAAGGTTATGAAGGTGTGTGTCAGCCACTGTTATTGAATATCTCATACATTATGGCCTACACTCTTTCTTTAACTCTTGGTAATTTGCTTCAGTCTCAGAACTTTGATGTCTGTTTTATTTAATTGAAAGCAGTTTCAGATGTTCACAGCTAGAGAACCAACTATCTCTTCTTTCTTTTTCTAGTGAAGGACTTCACTTTTTCAGTGTTTACTCATAACATCTTGGATGTTTTTCGTTCAAACCGTATCCGGATTTTCTCTCCTGATTAATTCATGTTTAGATTAAAACAGACAAACAAACAAAATTACTTAACACATACCTGAGTTAATCTCAAGTCCATGAGTAAATACTATTTTTAATTAACCTCCTCAAGTATGCAGTTAGGACTTCATTGTCTAAGAGAAAAACTACGTATGGATGGAAAAGTGTGATTCCTTTAATTAATATATCTGTTTTACTTCTATGGTCTTTAATGACTTAAAGAAAAAAAAAAAAAAGTTATTTTGAATGCATGGGTTTCTGTTTCAGCAGTGTTTTGAATAATATTCCTGTATGCTAAAAGAAGTTGTGAGGGTTTTGCATACCAATTTATGCAACAACCTTGCAAATGTGCTTAATCACATGAGTGTTTTATAATAGATCTAGGTTAGTTTTCTCCAAATCTGATATAATCAGTTATAACTCTTACTTCCTCTAGGTTTCAGTTTAGCTTTCAGTCATGATGATAATACTTGTTGATTACAGATATTTTTATTTGTGTTAAAATACCTTTCTCAGTGTAGTAGCTTTATATTTCTCTTCTAATTTTCTGTAGTCATGTGTGTATTTTTCTCTTAATCCAGTTCCAGTCCACTAGGCAATTCTCTGTGTAGTCTTCTGTTGTCACATGTCTTTAGCAATGAAGGATTCTGCTAGAAGATAGAAGAATATAAGATTTATGGGGGCAAAAGAGAGTGGGCTTTGAAGATATGATTTTTATCAACAGGCATTGTTATGGAAAGTCATCTTTATGGCATGATTTATCCTTTCCAAATAGATGGGGTTATTTTTGACACAAAAGTGCTGGCTGAACGTCTTGCAGATGGCAACACCATTCCTTGTTGATAGTAGTCTTGTCTGAGAATCACTTCACACTTACCTTATTTCACTTTATTTTTTGCCAGGGTTGTGGGAATTGAAGGATAATTTGTATTTAGCAGTGACATGAATACTGGATATTTCAGGTATATAGTGAAAGGGTGATTGAATTCTGACTTTATTGCTGTTTGAAGGTTGTTCTTGTTTTGTTTTGTTTTGTTTTCTGAACGTATTTTGGTCTTAATTGGAAGAACTAGAGAGACCCCTACAAAACCTGGGAAAACAATACTGAATCTGTTTTATGTTCACTATGCTTCAAAGTATAAATATTTAAAGGAAGTCAGGTTTATCAAAACGTAGAATGTTAAAGCTTCTTTCGCTGTCAAAATGTTGACCTTTTGTCTCTTGAAAATTGATTTTTTTTTTTTCATTGGCAATTTGAGTTAAAGGGATTCTAAAGAACAACCATGTAACAGCATTGTTAAGAAGGAGGGAACTGAAACGTATTTTTATCTCTTCTCTTTTGTGTGGGCTAGTATGTGTTGACTGTCATAATGTAGCTGAAATTGGAAATGCATGCAATGTCAGTAGAAGTACTTCTATCCATTTTTGTTTTGATATGAGTTTAGTTTGTGATATACCCTCAACAGAATTTTTTTTAGTCTAAACATTAGTGCCTGAAATCAGTTCTATGCTTAGGCCTGAAACAGCAAACAAATGTGAATTAAGATAATTGGGTCTGTCTTTTTTTCCTGTTTTTGAAAATTGTGCAAACAATGCATGTTTAGCATTTCCAGATTCTTATTTTTCCTTCGCCTTTCAAGTGCTTTACATTTGATATATAACAGTATTTGAGTACTGATCGTTGAAGAGAGAAGACTTGATGCCATGTAATCTGAATCATCCTCTTTACCCTGGCACAGGTTTAATGTGTATCAAACCTTCATCTCTTTAATAATAAAGCCTAATTTTACTGGTGTATTGAAATTGACTGACATAATTGTATTCTTTTATCAGAAGTTGGTTGAGGGTATATGTAAAAAGTATTTTGTTGAGAATAAGAGCACACAGACAATTTACTTCAGCAGGGAGAGGCACCCGCTTTGAAAAGATTGTTTCAGTTTGGTGGAGATGCATGTAATTAAAAAATAAATATATTTAAGCAGTAGAACTCAAGAAATCTGGTTTTCCAGTGAGTTGTGTCTTAAGATCGAGCTTCTGCGTGAATCATCTCATGTCTGTTGAGGTAGCAGCCCATATTGCAACGTTTTTAGTCAGACACATGTGAAATGCCACTTTTAGGGACTTAATTTCATGAGAACTTCTGAATGTAGCTTGTTTGTTTGTTTGACCACTGTTGTAGTAAACAGCAGCTCTTGGAATCAGGAATGAGATGACACTACCACAGTGTGCATAAGTTTGACTTGCTTACAAGCAGACTAAAATTAGGATCTTTTTGAGTGCTCATTTGGGTACTGGGTGTATATACTAGGGATTTTCTTGGAACAAACTAAATGAATTTGAGCTGTATTGTCTCGTGTTCTGTTTAAATTGCTTATGGTGGAAGGTTCAGAAAATGTACATAGTTCCTCATAAGCCAATTTTCAAGCCTATTTCAACACTTTTGGTAACATACAAGGTGCATGAACTAGTAGACTGAATACTGTTCCATGAGTCATAAGTATATTTTCTTTTCTTTTGGCAGTGTCTGTATGGTAACTGAGTTATGGCTTGAACCACTGGTTGAACACCTGGGGAAAGGGCTGGGTCAGCCCTGGGAGCACAGGTGAAGGCAATTCATTTGTGTGACCAGAAGGAGTGGAGCCTGGCTCCACCTCTCTTAGACTGCATTTAAGGGCTGACTGCCACTGAGGAAGGATCTCTAGTTAGAGATCTGTCCCTTGTGGAGTCCTTACTGCAAGCCTAGATCTTCAGAGATGGGTGAGATCTTTCCTTTCCCTTTGTAACACCATTCCATCTTTGCTAGTCTCTTTGCTGTTATGCTCCTCTATCAGCTTTCTACCATATTAATCTTTCTGATTGTAAAGTTGTCCTAGTTCTTGGTTATGGGGAGAAAGCGTGTCTCTTGAGACTCAGTTGGACTGGTTGAAGGGAGCCTCTGTGCCTTTTAACAGGGAGTTACACATTACAAGTACTTGTTTCTTTTTACAGTATTCACTGGTGGCTGTAAGTATGTTTTCTTGCAGATCTTGGTCATAAGTATCTTGGGTGTCTACTGCCATAAGCTTTGTATCAGGTTTGGTAGTGAAGTTGGAGAGTGAGGACTGAAGTGCGTGTGAGGACTTTGGCTTTTCTTTGGCACCAGGGACTAAGGTACTTCTTTTCACTGTTAGCTGCTATAGGATTATGATTATTAACAGATCTCACTGCACCTCTAATGTTATTCAATCTTTTAACTACTTCTAGCAACTCAGGCGCTTGTCATGGCTGCACATCTTGTGCAGGTACTTACTTTATCACTGGGAGAAGGTTCAAGGCAGTCACTGCAACCACTGTCTAAATTAAGTCTCCTTGCTCTCCAGACAAAGGTACAGTTGGCTCTTCTGGCTGCCAGGATACACTGCTGACTTAATTTCATCTTACTGTCACTGGAACCCGTAGATCCCTTTTCACAGGGCTACTCTTCAGCCTCTTGACCCCCTTGAGTTTGTACATGTAGTTAGAGCTGCCCCTGTTCTAGTTGCAGAATCTAGCGCTTGTTCTTGTTAAATTTCGTGCTGGGTCATTCCCCAGCCCTCTCGTTTGTCAAGATCTCTCTTCAAGGCCTCTCTGCCCATGAAGGAATCAACACGTCCTCATAATTTAGTATCATTGGCAAATCTACATCATATGCCTTCAAGTCCTGTATCCAAGTAATTGATGAAAATGTCAATTTTTAGGGCAGAGAACTGACCCTGAACTGGAGCCGTACAGAAGTCCACTAAACAACAGTGTTCTGAGTATTGAAAGAAAGAAAATCAGGTTTCTTGGTTCTTCAGAAGAAAGCAGGCAGGAACATGGGAGGGTAGGGCAGAAACCAGAGGTCCTGGCCTAGTGTTGTTGCATTTAGGAGATGCAACTCAAGCATCTTTACTGGGGCTAGAGGTGTAAAGTTCCTCCTGAGGTGCTAATTTAGTTGTGTTGTGGTCTATGAGACCATTTTGCAGACTCTTTTGTATACCTTTATTATAATATGAATGTTTTCTGTGGATTCTAATCAATTTTCAAATGGGTAGAGAAATCCTGTTTAGTGGTTTTATGTGTTTTGAAAAAGGGCTCAGATTGGCTTGTGGGTCTGTGTGCTGAAACTCTTGCCTTGTGGTGCTCTTGTATTTTTTTTTTTTAATAATTTAATATAAAGATATTAATTTTGAGTTTTAGAGAGTGGTTACTGCTTTTTAAATCATATTGTAGTAACACATGAAAGTTGTTATCCAGTGACATTGTACAGTGCTGGAAGATACGGATTCTGAGTTGAAGTTCTGACAATCTTTTTGTGACATGACGTGTGAAAATGTGTCCAGGGAAATTATTCCTTAAATCTTTCCTTTATTGTTTTCAGAGTGATTGTACAATTAAAGAATCAGGTACCAAGAGCTTTGTTTTTTAGTGTCCATTTATATATTAAAATCTATTAATCCTACAGATTATTTTTAAACTTTTTTTTTAATATAAAGGCACTCCTGTTTTATGCGTTGTAAGAAGTATCAATGGAAACATTAGTGTTGATTGGAAATAAGCACTTGATTTTGCTTCTTAATTTCTTTTTAAATAGTAGTATCTATAACTTTGCTAACTACAATTTAACAGCGGCTGAAGTATTGGAAGTTGCTGAGGTTCTGGTGAGAGCCAGAGGTGACATTATTCATGAGGAAACATTAACCCATAACCATTTCTATTTGGATTGGTAGTGATAGTCATAATGTGGAGTGGTGGTGGAGGTCTAACTATTGGCTGTCGCCTAAATTTGGAGGAGGATGATCTGAAACTGGACAAATCCTGTTCAAAAATGGGGTAATTAGTAGTCTTGCCACACTAAAGATTAACACTGGAATAGCTTTTGTTACAACTGCGAACTGTCTTTACAACTTTGTTCTCACAAAAAGTGTGTAATTGAAAGCTGTTTTGTTATTTGAAATGCTTCTTTGAATCTACTTCGAAAAGAGTAAGGGTTTTTTTTTTTTTTTTTTTTTTTGTTTTATCAGAATGAATAAGTTTTTGCTTAGTGGCAGTGTGTTAAAATCAGTTTGTCCCTTGCATAGCTCCACCTTGTCTGAGGATTGAAAAGGTAGAAAGGCCTCATCCCATTTTATTTCTTGCTGTATGGTGCAGCAAAATCAAACCTGACACATGATCTTCACATAGATCTTACAATAAATATTAATCAGTTTATGAATATTTCATGATATGTCAGTAATCTTGTCATTCTTTTTTTCTTAATCTTTCAACTGACTTATGCTGGGATCCATTTTGCATTCCCTGGGCTCAGTTTCAAGTAGTATTTGTTGTCCTGTGGACTGACTGACTTCTGTAATTCAAGAACCACTGGCTTATCTTCATCAGTGAAGTATATGGCCAAAACTTTGAAGATCTTTAGATGCTTGCTCATGATCTCACCCTAATAATGTGGATTTTTTGTTCTGTTGCAGTTTTCTCTGCTAGGTTCTTATTTAGGGGCAATATTGAAGTGTAGTGGTGGGTACTTGGTTCTGGGTTTTTATAGAAGATGTGGAAACATGGAGTGCAAGTCTCTTTCCAATAGGTGCTGCTGGTTTAGAAGCTTCTGATCTAGCAGCAGTGAGGATAGGAGGATCCCAGGTGGAATGGTGGGAGGAGGGAGGGAGGAGAATGAACAAGAAATGTTACTGGAGGTAAGTAGCTAGTCTTCAGAAATTATCAAAAGCTTGACAGCTATTTTTCAAGCAACTGAGAGGATCAAAACAGTTTAAGGATGTTGGGAGCACCTCACTCTGTTACTTTTTAATTGCAAAGTTCAACAGACTTTGCATTTCATTCCATTACTTATTGTTAATAGTTTTTTTTAAGTTGGAAGATTTTCTTTTTTTGTTGTCTAACAAGCTTACGTTTCTGCTTGTTTTATTTCTAGCATATAATCAAGTTTCACCGTGCCTCAAAAGCAAATAAAAAGCCCATGCAATTGCCAAGATCTATGGTTAAATCACTACTCTACCAGATCCTTGATGGAATCCATTACCTCCATGCGAACTGGGTGCTTCATAGAGATCTGGTAAGTGCAGCATGCTTTACCTGGTTAAGAAAGTTTTACGTGTGTCTTGTTGGGTAGGAGGAGAAAAGTCCCTGTTAGTAATCTTGCATATCGATCCGTACAGTTCTTCCTGTTATTGTTGTGGGAGACCAGTGGTGATTTTAAACATGAAAATAGCGTTGTTTGTGTCTGAGTCATCTGAGCTCAAACAATGACAACAGATCCGGTGAAAGGATTGCAAATGTCAATATCCGCAAACAGTGCATGAGCCAGCTGATAATATATCAGTTGAACATTCTTAGAGGTTTGTGCACTACTTTGAAAAGGCACTTAACTAGAAAGGTGATTGCTACCTTTGTACATTGTTCGGCTTACGTACAAGTTACTATAAAAGATAGTGAGAGAGTAGTTTTTTCATGGAGTGTTTCTTTTCCGTGTGGTATTTTTTTCTGACCGTGGGAAAAGAACTTTGAAAGGATTGTCGTCTTAGAAATTTCCCATGACCTGGTGTGGCTCTTCAAGTTGATTGCAGATTACAAGGGCAGCCGGTTGCCTTGTCTTAGTTACCCTTTTTCCCTTAAAATTTCCCATCGCTCCTAATGCTTAAGTGATCTCTTGCAGTGGTTATAAAAAAGAAGAATGTCAACATGGGCATAGTGTCTGCTGATATTGCATTATAACTGAATTTTTGAGCATGAAGCATACCAATTACGTGGTGGTTAATATTCCAGATCCTTTCTTGTAGTTACGCTGCATTGATAGAGTAAGATCAGTAGGAATTATGGTGGGAAGTGTAGTGTGATCTGTGTATGAAGTGACTGCTGTTGTTTCAATGTTTCTCATAGTTGCCCTAGTCAGTCAAAATGGTTTTGCATGTCCAGAAGCTTCTAATCATTTATTTAGTTTTGTAAGCAAGACATAGATTATTCTCAAGTACTTAATAGTAGTTATGTGCTCAGATTAATTTTTGGATGTGGACTGAATGTTTTCTTAAAAGCTATGAGCGAATTGAGGCAGCTCTGGAATGGAAATCACAGATATTTTCTGAAATAAAGTTTATTTAATTTTGATAAGTGGCTGAAATTAGGGCTCAAGTTTTGGTATGGATCACTTTTTTTTTTTTTTTTTACCTCATTCTTTGTTATTTATTGTTGACCTTTCTGATAAATTCCAGATGTTAGCATACTTGTGGGCTTTTATTGTTGTTTTCGGATTGGTAGCCGTGAGCAAAAGCAGGAAGCAAGTGCAAATACATCTTTGACTTCTGTGCTACAATTACTCCTTTCCTATGGAGACAGCTGTTGTTTTGCCAGAAAGCTGAGATGTAATCAGGCACAGTTTAAAAAGGAGCACCTGAAAAGTCTATGTTCAGCTATGTTTAATGGAAGAATATGTATTCATAAAACTATTTCTATCCTGTAGCACCATGACCTGTGCTGCTCCTTTGCAAGTTTTATCAATTGTTGTGTTGCAACCAATCTGGTGCCTGATGTTAATCATTTCTCTTGGAGCTTTGAGAAGTAAGGGTTGCTTTTCATGAAAGACTATTTTTCATATCGCTGGTGTGATAATGCTTGGGTGATGTAGTAATAATTGGGAAGGGAGAATGGAAATTGGCTGAATCTAATGTGTTCCCATGTAAATAAGTTTAATTCTTCAGTGCCTCTGTGAGAGAAAGGAAAAGGTTAAAAATTGCCTTGGTACAGTAGTGATGTGGAAGTATATTCATAATTGTTAGCTTTTTAAAAAATCATTGTCCATCTCTGAAGAATTCAGGTATTTCAAATTGTTGGCTTGTATCTTAACCACTGATAAGAAGTGATGGTATTTTGTATGTGTCATGTCTGCTTTCGAAATTAGGAGGTGTTGTGTTTGTCTAGTTAACAACTTAAATTCTCAGTTAACCAAAATTTTTGTGATTATCTGATCTAGTGGGAGATGTTTCTGCCTATAGAAATGGGATTGGAACTACATGATCTTAAAGGTCCCTTCCAGCCCAAACCATTCTATGATTTTTATTCATAAAATCGTACTTGTAATTTTTGCTTTTTCTGCTACCTCAGGCCCAATTTCACTAGCATGAATTTCTTGTGTAATAACAAGAAATAAACATACAACGTCTTGTTAAGATGAGGAGTAATTGGTCTGGTGTTTTTTCCCTTGGCTGTTTTAGTTTACTTCCATGGGAAAAATATTTTCTATTTTTATGTAAACCAATATTTTGCATCAAGACACCTTGTGCTTTCCTGGTTTAATATAACTCTGTTCCTACTATTTTTAGCGTGCATTTGGATATAGTCCAAGGATAACATCCATAGAAGTGGTGTTATTATTATTTTTTTTTTTAAATTAGATTCTCTAAGAGTATTTTTGATGATATTACTCAAATTTCCCTCAGCTATGGAAATGACCTTTAGAGTTTATTCAACAAATGTTGCAATAAAAAGTAGAAAGATTACAAGTTAGATATTTTGTAGAGAACTTGCTTTGAACTATTTGAGGAGCATTAGTAACATCATTTAAATCTTAGTTTGGTGTTATCTTAACTTAAATATCCTGAGATAGAATAACAAATGTTATTTTTATAACATAAATCTTTTATAATTTTATAAAATTTTTATAAAATTCATTCTTTTATAAATTTATAATAATTCTTATAATATAATTATTCTTTTATAAAATTTTATAACATAAATCTTTTATAAGATTTTTTTTTTTTTCTAAATGGATTCATATTGCTAGGTAGGTAAAATTGTTACTCTGAAGCAGTTTTTAGGATTGGCAGTAGCCAGCAAAATCATTAAAGAGTAACAAAGCTGGTGAGCAAGCAGAATGAACTTACAGGCTTGCAATACATACCATGTCCTTGGGCATGAGTTAAGGGATAGTTTCTGCCACAAGGAGACAGTCACAGTCTTTTCTTCAATATTGCCATGGTATTATCACCTATTTTAGTTAGCTGACAGGTGACACTTATCTAACTTATGGTAAGCTCAGTCAGGGAGCTAAGTCAGCAGAAAGCATTTGCTTTTCTCTTGCAGAATGAGTTATTTGTGATCCATGAACAATCTCACTGGGATGTGTGCAGCAGAAGGTGCAAAAGAAGCCTGAGATTGAAGATGGTGGCAGAAACCAGAGCAGGTTGTTCTGGCATCACCTTCCATTATACCAATTCAGTCTATTGCTAAAATGCTCCTTTAAACTTGCATGAAAGTGCAAAGTTTTTGAAAGATTTAGTTAAATTTCAACTCTAAATTAGTGTTTACCTTTAACCAGTTCTGGTGTAAGATTTATTTCAGATTAAACTCCCTCAACACAAGTCCAATTTTAGGAAAGTACCCAAACTAAGGCAAATTATAATACCAGGTATGCTTGTACTTGTACATCTAGAAATAAGAAAATAATCTAATGTACTATGTAGTTTAATTTCTCATGATGTTCAAGTATTTTGTTTCTAGTTTTCTTATTCTGGAAATAGCTGTAAGGGGTGAGATGGCTTTAAGGTGTAACTTTTTTTTTTTTTGCTTAGCTGTTAAATTTCATCATTTAGGAATACTTAGCAGCAACTTTCTGTAGGGTAAGATTAAAACCAGTGCAGAATATGGGACAGGAGTATCAGAATTTTATTTCTTTGAATATCATGGTGTCAGATTGTTTACCTTGGAATTGATATGACTATAAAAAGCACTTAAGATTTTTCTCCTATCAAGTTGTTTGAGATGGTGTTTTGTTGTTGGATTACATGTTGTTGGGCAAAGATAATTTTGTGTTTTCAACATAGTAGCATTCTTGAAAGCCACTTGTGAGAGGAGAGAGGAAGGGAAGGAGACTTGGCAGGCTCTGCTAGCTTCTAGAGCCTTTCGTTAAGAAAAAGCGTTATTAATGTAGATATTAGAAAGCCATAGAATGGCTTGGTTTGGCAGGGACCCCAAGGATCACCAAGTTCCAAGCCCCCAGCCACAAGCAGCGCTGCCAACCTCCAGATCTGGTACTATTCCAGGTTGCCCAGGGCCCCATCCTTTCAAAGTATCCTTTTGATACTCATCTCCGGATTTTAGGAGGTTCTGCAGAAATCACAGGCTATCTACTTGAAGGAAATCCCTAAGTTGTGCTCAGTAGCTTGAGTCAGCATCAAGTTAGAAGATGCAAGGTGTACAGTGCAATAATTCGGAGTATTGTGATTTGCTCGTCCACTTCTCCCCTGCATGTGAATTACTGAGATCCTAGAGGATGGTTCAGCAAGGGCTTTACTTTGTGAGGCATCTGAAAATGGAGATCTTCCATTTACTGTTCACAGTGTGTGTTTGTATTACCAAAAGAGTATTCTAGCAGTTTTTCTTGTGCTATTAAGCCTTTGGTGGTTAATGTTAGTTGCTTGTGCACTTCCTTTAGAACCTGAGAAATGTAATTTCTATTTGTAAATTGGGCACACTCTCCTGGAGCTGGGGGTATTATCTCCAAGAGACGTTTGAAGTGCACAGAAACCTCACTGAGTAGATGTGTAAGATTCTACTTGTTCTGAGTCTTTCTCTAGATTTCTACCTAATGTTATTAAAAATACTGATTGAAAACAAATGTTGGAAATTAAATTCACAGAGAAGCATGGTTGTCTCACTCCCTTCCCCTCCTCCCCCCACTAAATTCACTTGTCAAAATGAGCCAACCTCCTGAAGTGCTTTTACTATTAAAAACTCACTGATCAATAACTTCCTGTTTTTTTTCTTGCTTGCATCTCTGTAGCTTTAGAATGTTTTATTTGATGCATGTCCTTTTACAAGTAAGGAGATAAGCTTATAGTAAAAATCTGTGTTCTGCAAAAAGGCATCTGTGAGTTGTAACATTGCAGAGATTTAGAACATTTTATTTCAATCTAATCATTTTGTACCATTCTTGAAGATGTAGGTACAAGCAAGAGTGGATTGTAGACATGGTTGTTCCCTGAACTATGTTCAAAATGCAAATTCCTAGTGATGTAGCAGGAGGCCATGCTGCTTCTAGTCTTTTCTGTTCTCCTCTACTTA